GGCAGATCACTTGAGCACAGCCTGGACAACATGGCAAAATCCTCTCTACATAAAATACAAAAATTAGCTCGGCATGGTGGCACGTGCCTGTAGTCCCAGCTACTCAGGAGGCTGAGGTGGGAGAATCTGCGGCCACTGCACTCCAGCCTAGGTGACAGAGGGAGACCTGTGTCAAATAAACAACAAAAATTATAAAGGGGGGATTGTCCTTTCTGTTCTCTATTTCTTCAATATTCAATATACTTAGTTCATTTTCATGGTGGAAAAAGGTTAAAAACTTTGAGACTGTTCATTTTGGACTAATGTTAGAAATATCTGAAACATCAAAATGACAATAAACAGTGAACAATTGGAAATAGGCTTGGAATTCAACTCTGGGTTTATACACTGGAGACATTCAGTAAATGTTAACTGAATTGAAGTTCTATCCATTTTCCTTCCCTTGGGTCGGGACCCCAGAATCCTAATGAAATGTATTAGAATATTAGAAGTTTTACTATTATTTGAATATATTAATGAGGAACAAAAACTTCTTCCCTAACACAGAAGAAACATTGATTGCTCTCCTTAATACTTAACATTATTTTTCTTATGTGGCAATTGTTGTTCAAGGGCCAAGGGTCTGCTCTCACTGCTTTCAAATATTTTAAGTTATTATCTTTTTTTTTTTTTTGATAGTGGGTCTCACTCTGCCACCCGGGCTGGAGTGTATGCTCACAGCTCACTGCAGCCTCGAACTCTTAGGTTCAAGAGATCCTCCCACCTCAGCCTCCCTCGTAGCTGGGACCACAGGTATGCACCACCATGCCCAGCTAATTTTTATACTTTTTCTAGAGGTGGAGTTTCCCCATATTCCCTAGGTTGGTCTCCAACTCCTAGGCACAGACAGTCTGCCCACCTCAGTCTCCCAAAGTGCTGAGATTACAGGCATGAGCCACTACGCCCAGCCTACTTTCTAATTTTTAATGAAATAGAATCCATAGGCGTATTTAACCTATTAATTTTTTTTTTTTCTAATAGAGACGTGGTTTCACTGTGTTGCCCAGGCTGGTGTTAAACTCCTGAGCTCAAGTAATCCTCCTGCCTCAGCCTCCCTAAGTGTTAGGATTATAGGTGTGAGCCACCACACCTGGCCTCACTTATTGAATTTTGATGGACTTTTGACAATCCAGATATTTTCTAATTAAAGGATTTCAGTTCATTAGCCTAGTAATGCCGTATGCTAACTGGACCACACCAGGTACATTTTGGTTTAAAGATTGCTTCTTTGGGAGTCCAGAGTAGCATTTTGAAGAAACAATTGTTTCTCGTTGTTACTGTAATAAAACTGGAAACGTATTTAAAGTGGGGGTAACATGAGGTGCTTCCTCCACTGTTGCCATACCGTGAGGACAGGAACGATGTCCCCAGGATATAGATTAGGACTTGATGTTTTGTCCAGCCCAAGTATCTGTGAATACAAGGATGTGTGAATTCATATTTCACAAATTAGTCATATAAACTAGTGCTTCTCAGAGCATAGTTCAGTTCCTTAGCAATTTTTGCAGACTAGTGTTGGGAAGAAAATCTTTAATTTCTATGTTATTTACTAGACGATAGAGGGTTTGGACTGTCATTCGAAGTGAACAAACAGGCAGAAACTTTGGTGCTGTGTCATGAGGATAGCCAGGGGTCTACCTACTGAAAGGAACTCCACACTGACTTTTCACAAAATCTAAAATTCCTACTGGAGCCTGCTCCTCAAGGGCCTCTTTCATGAGTTACATATACCTTATCATGTGGACTTGAGGAATTATCCATTTCCTAAGGGATGTTTCATTAATTCATTCAATAGCAATGGTAGTAGGACCCCCTGAGAAAATGGAACATAGGAAGATAGATTTAATATACACACATGGCAAGGGAATATGGATATAAGAAAAGCTGGAGCATAATCCTTATGGGCCCTTTGGAATCCAGGGTCACCTGAAGGAATCTAAAGGCCAGGGCAGTAGGGAGGGACATCAAAGTCAACTCAAGCCCCTCCTTCAGGGAAGCCAAAAGAATCAATGTCAAAAGAGACCACGAGAAAGGACAATGTGATGTGGCCTTTTCACTCAAGGGAGTTGCCATGACGAACAGTATCTGGAAAAAGAAATAATGATAATTATGGTGTATTCACTGTGTGTTAGGAACCATTCTTAATACTATGCATGAATCATCTTTTTAACACTTACAAGAACCTTATGAGATAAGTACAATGCCTATATTCATTTTACAGGTCAGGAAACTGAGGCATAGGCAGATCCAAAGTCCTTAAACCTTCACATTATGCATTCTGACTCTGTAGTCCTTAGACCTTGCTTTTAAGCATTATATTATACTGCCTGCAGACAAACTTTATATATTTCAGGGCCTCTGGGGAACGACAAAAGAAAAATGTAAGTGTATGCCTGGCAGAGCACAGTCTGTCTGTGATGCCAGATGTCTTCTACCTCATTATCTGAAGTCTTAGAAAATATGGAACATACTATGACTCGTCAGCACATGGACACATAGAGGGGAATAACACACACTGGGGCCTGTTGGAGGATGGAGGCTGGGAGGAGGGAGAAGATCAGGAAAAATAACTAACGCGTATTAGGCTTAATACATGGGTGGCAAAATAATTTGTATAACAAACCCCCATGATACAAGTTTACCTTTACTACAGATCTGTGCATGTACCCCTGAACTTAAAATAAAAGTTAAATAAAAGAAAAAATCATCCTGTCCTAAGATATTTGGCCTAAGATAGCTTTGAGGACCCTTCTAACCCCAAACCTAAATCTTTTATCTGACCCAGAATATTTTCTTGGGTTAAGGTTTCTTGAACATAAGGGATTTTTTTGTTGCTGTTATTGTTCTGAAGTCTTAGCCAAGAAATATTTTCTTCTTTTCTTTTTCTTTTTTGAGACAGAGTCTCACTGTATCACCCAGGCTGGAGTGCAGTGGTGTGATCTCAGCTCACTGCAACCTCTGCCTCCTGGGTTCACGCAGCTGTCATGCCTCAGCTTCCTGAGTAGCTGGAATTACAGATGTGTGCCACCACACCTGGCTAATTTTTGTACGTTCAAGAGAGATGGGGTTTCACCATGTTGTCCAAGCTGGTCTTGAACTGTTGGCCTCAAGTGATCTGCCTGTCTCGGCCTCCCAAAGTCCTGGGATTACAGGCGTGAGCCCAGTGCGACCAGCCATCTTTTCTTTTTAGACTTGCTACCTGAAACGTGGGTAGCTGAGCAGAGTTACTTGGTGGCCTTTGATCCCATTAGAGAGTTCTGAATTGTTGGCCTAGATCCTTGAATGAAATCTGATATTAAAATAACACCAAACTGAAGTCATAGGAGATTTGTAGTGTAATATATACCCTCTCGATAATCAAGACAGAGGAAAAATAAAATGAGTTTCAGTTGACTTCATTTTTTTACTTGAAACTTTCCTTTCACTCTTGGGTGATTTGTAACCCACATCTTCACATATCAGGGACACAGCAAGACATAAAATCCGTAATTCCAATTTGGGATTTTAGAAGCTGTCAGAGCTTAGTAAATAGCACCACTCTCTTAGATACTCCAAGGAAATTCAGTGAAAAATACTGCTAATGAATTTAAATTTCTCCAAGTTCAGGTACTGCTCTGACGCCATCTTCCCACACTGTTTTATCTTCCATGAGTCTTCAGTCTGTCATACTTATTTGGCTTTTGTTGAGGCCTGACCCAATGACCTCATGTTTACAAGATGGATGTGGGCCAGAACTAGGACCCTCTTTAAATTCTGCATTCTTGGTGCCCACTTGCCCAAGCACCACACAGGACACTGCAAGGTTGCAGAACTGATTAAGATACGGCCCTTATCCCTAATACTGTTAGTCCAGTGAGAGGTATATACATGAACCAGTGGATGTTGTTGTTGCAAACTGTAGATTAAGCTTTGCTACATATCTTTTTTCCATTTTCTGTAGCTGACTACATAATGAACTCAAAATGGGGGGAAAAAGGTCATTTGGATGTAAGATTTCTTTAAAATAACTTACAGCTTTTGCTGAAAGTAATATTCAAATACTTCTCTATCAAACTCTCAGAATTAGCCTAGGGAAGGGTATTTTAAATGCTGTTTTTTACCAACTGGGTAGAAGGATGATACTCTCCACTTTTTTGTCTTCATTGAAGATAATAATAAATGCAGAGGTAAAAGTTTATGGACCTTGAGTGGACTTACCATTTTACTGCTTTGAAAGTGCTTTCTTGCCAGGCTCGGTGGCTTACATCTATAATCCCAGCACTTTGGGAGACTGAGGCAGGCAGATCACTGAGTTTGAGACCAGTCTGGGCAATATGGTGAAACCCTGTCTCTACAGAAAAATGTAAAAACTGGTTGGGCTTGGTTGCACGCCCCTGTAGTCTCAGCTACTTGGGAGGCTAAGGTGGGAGGATTGCTTGAACCCAGGGGTTCAAGGCGGCAGTGAGCTGTGAGCATGTCACTGCACTGCAGCCTGGGTGACAGAGTGAGACCCTGTCTCCAAAAACAAAAAAGCGCTTTCTTAAAATTAAACTTGTAGTCAGTCACATTGTAACTTTGGACAGAGGAAGTTAATTTCCCCTTTGGTTTCTAAGTTAGCTTTTTGGGAATCACACTGTAAAATTTCATGGTCTAGTTCATTTTTAATGGTCCTTAGTTCTGCAACTCAACTTTTAAGCAAGCATGATGCTTCAACCTGCTTACTTTGTCTCTGTTTGGTAAAGTCTGTTTGGATGGTGGGGGAGCCATTCACCCAAGGTTGTTACTTGTTTGGTCTGTTTATCCTAGGGGTCCATCTGTATACAATGTCTAGAGTTTACAAAGGGCCATTCCGTTGAAGATGTTTATTACAGAGCCTTGCTGTCTTTCTAACGTGTTAGATACATTCCCCTATTTTCAGTCAGTGGACTTTTTAAGAGTAAATAATTTTAAAATATTCTTTTTTATTTTCTTTTTAATTACAGAGCAAAGAGATTGCATTCCAACTTCATGAGGATTTAATGAAGGTTCTTAATGAGCTTTATACGGTAAGCACATAATCTTTCTTCTTTTCTAGAATTCTTGGGTTAGAATTCTGGTTTGTAAAAACACTGCTTATTGTAGTATTCATTCCAAGCCAGAGTGACAGTGGATCCTCATCTGCTTGAAATACAGGAGCAGGTGGATAGGTGTACACAGCTACATTCCTTTGCCACTCCATCCCGATTTGGAGAAATTGTACTGAAATAAATTATCTATCTACCTATCTATCTGTCTGCATACACACATATATACACAAGTAGCGCACTTTAAGAAACTAAAGTATAGATGTCTCCATAAGATACGTTTTTAACTGGATTTTATGTGATCTCTACATATATTGAATTCGAGAATATTTTGTTTAAAATTGATGCCCTTGTGGCCAGGCGTGGTGTAATCACAGCACTTTGGAAGGCCGAGGCTGGTGGATCACTTGAAGTCAGGAGTTTGAGACTAGCCTGGCCAGTGTGGTGAAACCCTGTCTCTATTAAAAATGTAAAAGTTAGCTGGGCGTGGTGGGATGTGCCTGTAATCCCAGCTATTTGGGAGGCTGAGGTGGGAGGATCACTTGACCCAGGAGGCAGAGGTTGCAGAGCCAAGATCGCACCACTGCACTCCAGCCTGGGCAACAGAGTGAGACTCTATCTCAAAAAAAAAAAAAAAAAATGTTGCCGTATAGAACTTGAGCAATTTAGGTTGTGTTATTCTGGTGCTTTCTTTTTTTTCCACATTTTAGTTCAATTAATTGTTTGGTTAATGACGTATTAAAATTACTTTTGAAGGGTATCAATTTTTTTTGCAATAATTTGCTTTTTTGACTTACATTTTATTTAGGGTACTTCATGTAATCATTAAAAATTAAATAATTTAAAACTACTTTATTAAAAATAACTAAAACTAATGATGTTACAAGTTAGAGTTTGTAATATAATCATGTAAATATTTTTCCACGCTTAATGATCATGTTATGAAATACTTCTTTTGGGGGATATTTTATTTTAAGAGAATAAAATAACAATAAATGAGTAATATTAATTTATATTAATGAAAGATATTTGGATTTTTATTGCACAAGATTATTTTGTTTGTTTGTTTGTTTTTGAGAAGGAGTCTCGTTCTGTCACGCAGGCTGGAGTGCAATGGCGCAATCTCAGTCACTGCAACCTCTGCCTCCCGGGTTCAAGCAATTCTCCTGCCTCAGCCTCCAGAGTAGCCGGGATCACAGGCGTGTGCCAGCACGCCTGCAAATTTTTTGTATTTTTAGTAGAGACGGGGTTTTGCCGTGTTGGCCAGGCTAGTGTCAAGCTCCCGGCCTCAAGTGATCCACCCACCTCAGCCTCCCAAAGTGTTGGGATTACAGGCATGAGCCACCAAGCCCGGCCTGAATTGGTTTTTTTTATAGGCAAACTAAACCTGAAACTCGAAAGCACGTTTCTTGATTTACCAATTCCATTTGTTCCTAAAAAGGCACATGTGTAACATACAGTTTTGTAAATTAAATTTTTAATGCTCCTTTGATACTTACTAATTAAAGAAACTTGTAAGTTAAACTTTTATAAAATGATTCTTTATAAAATGAACTTTCTAGTTTTTTTCTATGTGTGTGATAAATCTATTTTTTATAAAGCACATTTACTACATCTGTGCATATAAATTGAATTGACAATTTCTGTGTGTTAGTTCCTCCTTCAGAAACTTTCGACTGCATGCAACCTACAAAAGCCACAGGTTAAGAGATTATATCTATATACCAAATGCCTAATGAAACTGATTTTTACGTGATAAAGACCAATTTCTAGCTCCTGCCTTACATGATTTGTTAGTTTCTGATACCCTAAGGTATCAACCATTTCTAGAAGCCCAGTAATTTAAAAGTTAAACGACCTTTGTATACCTGAGACTTCCAAAGAGGAACAAGCAGAAATTCTGTGTTGTCTTCCATTGAACTCTTTTAAGATGAGGACGTTTTGGCACTTTCCTCATAGTTCCTTTTGCTTAGACATTGTTTTACCTAGAAATAGAAATCAGTCCTTAATACGTTACAAAAATAAGTCTGCTGGTTGCCATGCCATCATGGGTTAGAGCCTGTTGATTATGGTCTGAAAATAGTAGTGTAGTAAAGACAACAGTGACAAAGATGAACTTGACCACTGAATACAAGAAAAGTCAAAAGTGTCCTGAAAATTTTATCTCAGTGAGGGATATATATAATGAAATTTCTCCTAGATCCAGCCTATTGATTGCACCTAGACATTTTGCAGACTCTGTAGCGTTCAAGTAAGTAAGCTGACACCTCAGAACTCTTATCAAATATCAGCCCAAAAGCCTGAAAGAGCCAGGTTCTGCCAAAGGCCACCAGGGTTGGAGTGACCCTGTCAGAGTCATTTAAGCTCTCAGAATTGGTTGAGGGATTAAGGGATAGGGCAGACAAGCAATGAGATTTTAATTATGTCATCTGTAGATCACTTTGAGCTCCTGGGAAAAAATTTTACTTTAATCAGAGAGCATGCTCAGCAAGGCCAGAGGTCATGTTCTGTGGGGAGAGAACTTCATATCACTCATGCACATACACACACCCTCTCCCTTTTTATTCTAAAAGGAGATGCTGTTTGGTCCCTCTTGCACATTATCTTCAGATACACAAACTTTGTCTTGTTCAAATAAAATCTATCCATTATATTAATACTTCAGTTTACATTAGGAAAGAGGCGAGATGAGGCATATTTGAACAGTGGAACAATATTTGGAGGAATGTAGTTTAGATTCCCCATTCAACTACTCACTGGTATTTTTGTCATGAACAAATAACCTAGTTGCATCATGCATGGAATTTTGTAGCACTGATGATGTAATAGTGATTGTTGAAGTAACAGGTATAAAATACATAGCCTCGGGGAATTGAGGATGCTTTTTAATTGTCTTTTAAATTACAGTCAACCTTAGTGGTGGGTGACAGCCTTATGTTTGGACTTTCTTACCCCAGAATATTGTTCCCACAGCAATTGTTGATTATTTCAAACATTTTATCAGAAAGCTTTGTCTCCGATAAAATATATATGCTCAGGAAGGAGAATAGAGAGAGATGTCCTATGGTATTTATACATTAGAATGAACTGAGTTTTACCAGCCCAGATTGTACGGATGATGGGATAGATACGATATCATATGATGATATGATAGATATATATAATACAATAGAGCACAGTTTGTGTGGACATGGCATGAAGTGCTGGGCTTACAAGCGGAAGACAGGATGGTGCCATTAGAGTGGCTACTGAAAGAAGAGGAAAGGCTTTAAAGACTTGCAGCTCCTTTACTATATTTTTGCCCAATCTTGCTTTTAATTGCCAATAAAAATAAGGCCTCAAATGGTTTTAAGCCTCTATTTGAATTCTTAGGCGACTACAAAGGACAGCCAGAGCAGTTAAGATTAGTTCAGTCTTCACCAGCTACAGTGGCTCATGCCTGTAATCCCAGAGCTTTGGGAGGCCGAGGTGGGCAGATCACCTAAGGTCAGGAGTTCGAGACCAGCCTGGCCAACATGGTGAAACCCTGTCTCTACTAAAAATACAAAAATTAGCCCGGCGTGGTGGTGGACACCTGTAATCCCAGCTACCCAGGAGGCTGAGGCAGGAGAATCACTTGAACCCAGGAGGTGGAGGTTGCAGTGAGCCGAGATTGCACCACCGCACTCCAGCTTGGGTGACAAGAGTGAGACTCCATCTCAAAAAAAAAAAAAAAAAGGAAAGAAAAGAAAGATGATTAGTTCAGCCTTGAAGAGCAAAGGTTCTCAAAATAATGACATAAACCAAATAGATGTTTATATTCTCTCTCACAAAAAAAAGACCAAAGATTGACAGTGCAGGCCTGGTATGGAGGTTACATAAATCCTTGCAAGACTCAAGCTCCTCCTACTGCTTGTTCAGGTAAACCCCATTGTAACAGTTGTCCTTAGAATTCAAGATGGTTGCTAGAACTCCAGCCATTACATCTGCATTCATGGCAACAGAATGGAAAAAGGGAGCCTTGCCTTTTAAGGAGACTCCATAAAAGTCTCACACAAGACTTTCATATACATCTCACTGGCCAGAACTTAGAACATGGTCCCTCCAGGCTGCAAGTTAGGTCTGGGAATTACAGTCTTTTAGCTAGCCAGGTCATTGCTAGCCAGTTTTTTAAAAATGGGATTCTGTTCATTTGAAAGAGAAGGGGAGTTATTTGTAGCTAACTAGCCATGCCTGCCAGAGTAGCTAACATTTACCACATGCTGATTATGCTTGTGCTAGTTATTGTGCTAAGCATATTATTTGCATTATCTCATGTAATCCTCACAGCACCTCTATGAGGTAGTTATTCGCATCATCCTCATTTGATAGACGAGGAAACTAAGGCTCAGAGGGACTTGCCCCAGGGTGCACAGTAAGTGATAGGGTGGGATCTCAAGTCCAGGACTGGCTGCAGAGCCTCTACCCTTTACTGTCTTTTTATCTCTATTGCCGTAGTTGTGGGGAACCATTTTCTAAATAAGATCTCTAAATATTAATGCCTCCCCCACAATACAGAGAACATAAGTAGTTTATCTCCAGCTCATTTATAGTTTTTATAATCAATGGCATTAATGTTGCTTTAACAAAATGTACGTGACAAATTGAACATGTGGCTCTATGGCAACCAGTACTTCTTAGAAATGTGTACTTAAGTGATTTAACAGGTGGAATTCATTGGCTAAAAGCGAAAGGGTGAACCAGGATCCCCAGACTCCCTTTCTTAGCCTAATTTGCTAATTCTTTTTGAGTTAAACATTTGAAAGCAAGCTAAAGGATAGAATTAGCAAGTTTGGGAGTAGGGTTAAGAAACCAGGGACACCGTCATGCTATCATGAAACAAAAGTAACTGGACTGGCAGTCCGCAAGCTTATATTTGAGTCCCAGCTTCATTAATTGTTAGTTGTGTGGCACTGGGAAATCATTTAGCTTCTCTGGGCACTTGTTTTAGTCTGAGTTCTCTA